CCTGGTACCGGAGAAAAAAAAAAAAAAAAAAAATATTAGGTTGAAAAGTCCCCATAGCTCTCATTAAGAGATTTAGAGAAAATGGCTGGGCACAGTAATGGCGGAGAAAGGAGAGCAAGAGCTGCTGAAAGGGATTAAACAACGATCTAGGGAGAGTGGAAAAGGGTTAGCAATACTTCCCATAACTGTTTTTCTCATTTAAACCTTTCAGGGCAGTATACCTAAACCATTCCACATATTTCTCACCTTTGATTATTCTTGTCCTGGAACAGCACTGTGTTATTTTTAGAGAAATGTTGTAATACATGTTTTTCAAACATCACATGCCTTACAGGAGCTACTGATAATTTTTAGAGACAGACTACATTAAAAGATACCATTAAAACATTAATACATCTTTAAAGAACATATCTCTCTGGAAGAACCCATGTTTACAAGGACTTTACATCATTCACAAATGTAGGCAGAAAACATCTACCATTTGCTATGTAAAGATAAATGAATTTTACTTACTTGTATTGATCAGAAATTGATTTGACACACCCGGATGATCTACATCGTGTATTGCACTGGCAAAAATTGCTGCAAGAATCTCTAAATCTGTAAACACAGCCTGGAAAAAATGATAATTATTACTCTTCTATAGTGATATGAATAGAAAACATAAACAAGTGAGAAATAACTTTTTTGAACTCAGATGAAAAATAAGCCCTCATAATATGTCATGATATATTAAACAATCTTACAAAATGAGATATCTACCACTTACAAGTATAACTTTGTAAAAAAATATAACAGTATGATCAAAACTTTTTATCTTTTTTAAAATAGAAGTCTGAAATTATTTTTTAAAGGAAATAGTTTCTATGTTTAATAATATTCTGAAGATACACATAAAATTAGTATAACAGTAAATATTTTCTTTCATCTAAAACAGAGATTCTCAGCCTTGGTACTGCTGACATTTTTGTGCCAGATGACACTTTCCAGCAGACTGTCCTGTACATTACGGGATTGCTAGCACAATTCCTGGCCTCTAACCACGGCATGCTACTGGCACATATAACCAAAAACATGATAGTTGTGACAGCCAAAAATGTCTCCAGACACTGCCAAATGTCCCTCCTCATACGGTAGAAGAAAAACAAGGAAGAAGGGAGATAAATCAAGTCCAATGGAGAACCACTCACCCAAGTGAGATTTTAACACAACTGCTTTAGTTGTGGACCTTACAGTGTGGAAACATGAAAGTATTTTCTTCTGTTATGGTTTGTGTCTAGATGTCCCCCTAAAGTCTTATGCCGTCACAGGTCTGTTTCAGAGGTGGCTGAATCTAGAGTATGTGATGCTGGGATTAAGGGTATGTGACTAGTAGGTCACTACACTGACTGGTTTGGCATAGTTCTGGCTAGGATCAAGGGTGTGAGGGGCTGGGGATTTAGCTCAGCGGCAAAGCGCCTGCCTGGCAAGCACAAGGTCGTGAGTTCGGTTCCCGGTACCGGAGAAAAACCAAGACCAAAAAAAAAAAAAAAAAAAAAAAAAAAAAAAAAAAAAAAAAAAAAAAAAAAGAAAGGGTGTGAGCACTATACCCGCCCTAGCATGGGTAGCCTGCATAACAGGATAAGGGGCAGAAAGAGTCTTGTCTCCTCTCTCTTGTTGCTTTTGCTTTCTGCTGCTAAGAAACTGTTACCCCTCTGCCATGTGCAACCCTGCCTTGGAGCCAGCAGATTATGGACTGTGACTCTACAAACTGAGCTAAATACACCTTTCCTCCCTTAACTTTGGGTGCTGGGTATTTTGTCTCAGCAATGAGAAAAGTAACTAAGCCACCTTCTAATACATTTTATGGGAAATACTGATGTTGTGCTTATACTTAATATAGTCAGATTAATAATCAGATTCTTTAAACTAAAAATATAAAAGTCACCAGACTCTATTTTAAGAAAACAAACTGACCAATAGTTTAAAAGCCAGATGTGCTTTATGAAATGTCCATTGGAACACTTCAAAGAAGCAATATAACAAACAGATGAACCCCTAAATCTCTGACCAACTTTCACAGGCAAAATTCATCATTCAACTGTTTATTAACCACATTTTATCCTCTATTAATCAACATACTTCCTGTGAAGTCAACTGTTCTTTGCATTGCAAACCCTTTAGTTTATACAAGTTTAAGAGACATTCATGAATAGCAAATTAGTGTTCTTGAAATTCCAGAAAAGAGATTCACCTCCAAAGCAGGTGTGGATAAGAGTACATGAGTAGACTGAACAACATCGGCAGCATGGATATTGTTGTGATATGCCACGTCAGCATGGTAATGGTCTTCCAGAGTCATAAGATACGTAATTAAAGTATCTACTGGAATTTTAAATGTTTTTAATAAGTCCCGCTCCTGTAGGAAAAGAAAACCTGTTAACATGTTTGTCTTTGCAAAAACAAACAAATGAAGAGGTTCTACAGAGTATGTGAAACAAAAAACCAAATTATACATCAGTGTTTCCTATGGACAACCCAGAAACAGAAATAGCACTTTCACACATTTCCTAAGGGGAACGCAAACATCTGGGATGCTCCATATCCAGAAAATGGGATAATACCATACTTGAATTGCCCCTCTGGAGACTGAGGATGCTGTATCAAAGCTAGTGGAATTGGGAATGGATTGTGGACTCTAAAGGTCCCTGTGTCCCTGGTCAAGCAGGTGCTGCAGAGAAGCACCACAGCCCAGTCCCTGTCACAACAGCTGAACCTTAGCCCTTGTGCTTGGGGGACAGCTTCCTACTCCACCTGAAGGCATCAGCCACAGCCTCAAATTCTCATTTAAATCCTCCTGGAGCTGGGGCACAGCTCCACAAGAATAGCAAATGGATATGGAAAACAGCAGAATGCAGAAAACAAGAAGAAACTGAAGAAATTATAGTCTTGGGTTATCTCTTCCATTATCTATGCAAGTCAGGGTCATGAAGATGATTTTTAAACTGCTGTTTTAGCAGACTGCTTCAATTCACCTGTACCACTTCTTTGGCAAAAAAGATAACAACATTCCACCTTTCTGTATCTTTATTTGTCCTTTGATAAAGGAGCAAATAAGAATTTTATGAGTGTAAAAATAAGCAAAAAAGGGTGAGTAGTAAGGAAGACAAAATGCACACACAATCCAGTCTAGATAGCAAGTCTCTAAATATAAGAAACATGATACAAGTCAATCCTGTTACCTGAAAAATGGTGTGCATGATAACAGTCAGAGGCCGGTTACCAGACAATTCTGCTATTCTGAAAACATGAAGACCCCATTTGTTCACATCTTCTAATTCCTGGTGTTGAAGAAAGATGCCAATATCTCAGAGTGGGGAATAACACGAGGCAGTGACATCATTTAAAATTACTAACTTCAATGCAAAGATGGTTAGATTATGTCAAACAGTGATTCCTTTTCACTGTATTACAGGCACCATTAAGTAAAACAAACTTTAGGCAAATTAACTTAAATGTACTGAAAACTGAGTATTACTACTTTATGATTTGAACAACACCATAGATTCTCATCTAGTCTGAATATCAAAGTACTTCTTCATTGGATAAAATTTACACATAGAAACTGTGCTGTCTTTCTAAAACCCAGAAGAGATGGTAGACTTCTAAGATCAAAAAACAATACAGGTACATAAAAGAAAGTTGCAAAAAGTATATATACCAAGCCACTTATTAAATCTATATATTAATAAACCCAAATAATTTATAGAGATTTATAAAGTGCATTTACATCTTGAAAAAAAGAAAAGAAAGCCACATAAAGTAATGAATTTTCTACCCATGTAGAAGAGAAAGAAAAGGCACCATTTCATACTTGTAATAAACACTCTCTGAAATCAACTTACCTTGGCCAGGACGTCTTCTTGTTCTGTTTTAACCCCAAACCTTGGGATACTTGAATTAGTCAGACTAGAGCTATGCATCAATTTCTTGACTCCACTGATCTGAGACATTGGTCTTTTCTTTTTCTCCTTTTCCTTCTGAGTTGGAGAAGGAATTTCCACTTCATGTTGCTTATCTTAAGAAATTTAGAAAATATTCTACATTTATTATGAATTCTACTTGTTTTTACAATCATAACATGCATAACCAAACAGGTTTAAATGATCACTATGTATTCTAGGAAATGTTTCAAAGTAATACTTTTTCTTGTAAAGTATTTACAATTTGATGTAGACTTATTTTGAGACCCTCAAAACACCATATTCAGCAAAGAACAAACAAAAACAAACCACTAACTCATTAATATAAATGCGTCCAGTGGTTACCTTTTGAAGGAATGTCCCAACAACACTTTTGTAGGACCTATGACAACAGGTTTGCAGAAAGAAGAGCATTAACTCTATTCCTGTTTAAAATCCACTTAGTGGCATAAAAATTGCTCTTGCCACACCAAAGGACTTCAGTTTCAACACATATTTTAAAATGGTAGAAACTTCATATACCATATAATAAAGAGATATATGAACCCAAACAGCTAAGTAAAATAGGTTATACTATAGGAATTGAAACAGGATTTCTGAATGATTTGATTATTTCTGTTGCTTTTTATTTCTATACCACAGTGAGATGAGGCCTATGATGTGACTAGGTTGAATGGGGACCACAGAAAATCCCAAATATTACTCAATAATGAGTTTTCACATACACTACCTGCTGTTTTCTACAGTAAAAGACATAAGCTATCCCAGTATATTCATCCGCCAGTGAAGGCAGTGAGCAATCCTAATTCATCTGTGTACATGATACAAGTTCAATATATCTCTATTTAATAATGTGTTAACTGTTAGAGAAATTTTGCTTTGAAAGAAAATCCACACAAACAAGATATTCAAATTACTGACTTACATTTATTGCATTTTATTTTTGCAAATGAGACAGAGGGGTCATCCCAGAACACCATATTCTCAACTATTAGCAGCAAACTTTTCTCTAGCAGTTGTGCTGTCTTTGCCCACCACTTGGTTAGGCTTGGTGTCCATCAGATTTTCAAGTCATCAAAGACAGAGACCATTTCTAATTTACCATCAAATATATAGCACCCAGCTACTGTAGCATTCGAAAAGAATGTGTTGAATGGATGCCTATGTAAAAATACATTTTATAGTTTATTACCATAAAAGAAAACCTGGCTGGAGATAGCTCAGAGGAAAAGCACCTGTTTAGCATACATGAGACTGTGAGCTTAATATCCAGCATCACTAAATGAATATATAATAAAAATATACTATCATCTCATATTGTTAAGTTTTAGAGGTGTACAGTCCAAAATTATTAATATGAAGAATAAAAACAAATGGAATATAAAAAACCTATTTGGTTTCCAAAATGAGCTAGCATTGTAATCTGCCTCCAAAAACAAACAAGCAAATAATTTTAAAGAAAATTCAAACTTTAGTGTTGTTATTCTCACCTAAGAATGTATTTGAAATATACTCTGATACTTGATTTCCAGACCGACTCATTTCAGAGAGATGGGTGAGCTCCCGATTAAGCATCCTTTTAAACTGAAAAACAAAAAGGCAAAATGAAGTAACAGAAGAGGAAATGTTAAGTGAAATAACACTAGCATACTTTGAGGCACTGGAAGATACAATGACAATTTAGAGCAGTAGTAGCCAAAAGAACTTTTCTACAAATGTTGGAAAAACACCATAATCTCTGTTGTCCATGACAGTAGACACCAGGCATACATACATATTAAGCACTTGAAATCTGGCTGGTGAAAATGAGAAAATGAACTTTGAATTTAATTTTAATTATCTTCAATCTGAATAGTCACAAGCACCTTGTGGCTACCATAAACAGCACAGAGTTTGACACTCTGATATTAATGGTAAAAAGGAATTAAAAAATTAAGAGGTATTATTAGCACTTGCAGAAGAACATTACAACTTATAAACACAAAACTATTGCTACATAACTCAGCTTCTTACACTTCTTACAGCTTCTTACACATAACTCACACTTCTTATATCAATTTATAACTACAAGAGCTTAATATATAGTACTGGCCAAAGATTACAATCTAGTCTTTTACCCAGGGGAAAAAGGAAAGATTTATCTGAATACTCTTTCAGGACTATGAAGAAATAAACTATTTGAGTGAATACCACATAATATTTCCTTTTAAAAGTTTTTTTTTTCAATTAAGAAGTGTAAGATTTAGTTTCTCAGAATCCACAGAATTTGCCAATCCACTTCCCAAGCCACTGTACAGAAAACAAGTCTGTTTTCAAAATCCTACTTTGTTACTCCACAATTTATTTTATTGAGGCCACAGTACCTACCCAAAGGGGCACACGAGTTAATATACCACACCAGCACATGACATTCCCAATACTCAGAATTCTCCAAGATTTTATATTTTCCTCCCCATCAGCTACCAATTAATATGTCTTTCTTTAATTCTGAAATAACCCAAATAATATGCCTTTTTTTTTGGTACCAGGAATTGAACTCAGGACCTCACGCTTGCCAGGCAGGTGCTGTACCACTGAGCTATATACCCAGCCCTAATAAGCCTTTTAATAGTGCTCCTAACACACAGTAACAATTTTTTTCTACACATAAATATTATTGGAAACTGAACCATACAATTCAAACAAATTTTATTCTAATCTTTAGTAGCCTTTAAATATTTAAGTTTCACTATAAATTCTCATTTAAGTTTGGAAGAGAAAAGTGAGTTTATTTAGAATTTTCAAAAACACAAAGATGGCTGAACTCAAAAGCAGTTTAGCACATCTCTTCCAAAGTCAATCTTATTGACCATCTAAATTAGCTATGGAAATTTAACTATAATCACAAACAGTAATGGTAACAAAAAAAACCCAAACAATAGTCTGTTGGGTATAATGAATGCATATTAGCATTCATTTGCAGTCAAAAATGAAGAACTGGCTCCTAGCAATACAAGTTCTAGTTTTTTCTTTACAGCTCTAGGAATTTTATTCTCAAATCCAGGGACATATGTTTTATTTTCCTTGTTTATATATTTTATAATTTCTTGTTAATTATAAAATGCACACATAGAACAGAAAATCTAGAAAGCTATATTAAAAAGCCATGTAAATCTCTGCTGCTTAAAGAAAACCAGCAATAGCTTAGCTGTATTTTTTTCTATGTTTTTTCTACCTTTGCATATATACTGGCATCATGTGATCTATAAAAATATGAGTTTCTGCTTGTTTTTATTTAACATTACATAGTACTATCTACCAGAAAATAGTAAAATTTAATGGTTATGAATATTCATAAAGACATTTACAACAGTGTTCAAAATGTTTTCTGTCCCTCTTCACAAGTTACATTTTCTTGAGTGAATGACTGGTTATTTACCTAATATGAAAGTGTCTTATATTTAACCTGGGACATAACAGGTGCTCAGCATTATTTGAGCTCTTTCTCCCAGTGCCCTTTCAGGCACTCTGTTTCTGACTTCTGGACCTTTTACACTGATGTCTGATCCCTATCATTACAGGACACAGATGAAGGACAAAGAATCATGGGCAGTATTCATAAGGAAAACTGTGGCCATATTTCAAAAACACTAATCTCTCACAGGTAAGAAAATCCTGGCCTTACAGAAGCCTTACAACTTACCCTAGAAAAAATGTATTCATTACACAAAACACATTCAAATGAGAGTGTGTGTTAACTATTTTAAACATGTACTCACTAAAGTACCCCTTCGACCTTTAGTTTTCCATGTAATGAGATAAAGTTGCTATTAAAAACTAGCTGGTCATGAAAAAGTCCTTGTATATAAAAAATAGGGGAAGTTACTGCTTTCAGCCACTGTTAGACTCTCAGCAGTCTGCTGGGTGACTATGGTCCACACTGTACTTCTTTCAATGCAACTAAGCATGACATATGCCTTTTGAGGACAACTGGAAAACTTACACAGAGACCTAGTTTTTCATAGAGCCATCTAAACGGTATGCGACCTGGCATGAAAAATATGTTATTTTATGCCCAAGCAGAAAGATTTTTCATGCTACCTGCAGATGTGCTATACAAATAACTGGATTTTTTTCATGGAAGACTATGGAGACCAAAGTATAACTTTTGGGGCAGTTTGCCTATATAATTCGTCAAAATAGATAACAAAGACAAAAAAAGATAGTGAAAGGAATCTATTGCGAGGACTGAATAAATGACAGACTGCATATTCCATTGAGTATTTCTGCATCATATGTAACTTGCTGTTCTTTGTCCGAAACTCAAAAACATGAGTTAGTGAAATCCTTGATAACACATCTGTCTTCCTACCAAGGCTTGCATGATGCTCCAAGGAAGTCAAAATTATTTTAACATAATTGTAAGAGACACTATTTAAAATAACTCAATCTCTTCCCAAGGGAGGGAAGATGCAGGATTTCCCAAAGACAATTGTCCACAAGTCAATTAAGTTATAACATAAAGGTTACTTCTAAAAGGAATTAAAATGTTTAGCTTTTGGGCACTGATATAAACCTTTCAATCTAGGGAAGCCAAACTAACAACCACAATAATGACCATGATGCCTTTTCAACTGCTAGTTTACCTTATAAATTGCAGTATACAGCCCAATGTGCCAAAAAACAGTATCTTAAACCATTTTTAAATGTCAGTGGAATTTCTCAGATTTTTAGAAAAGTATGTAACATTCATTAAGATTAACTACAAAAATTACTATGGGTGAGGAGAAAAGGATAATTCGAAAGTCAATACAATCTTCCTGGAACACCGTTATACAGTGTTTCTGCATTAACAGTTTCAAAAGAGAAAATAAAGAACTGCTTTTCAACAGAAACTCAGAATGCAGAACATTTTTTAAAAGTGACCACTAATAGTTTCAAAACAATATATAATACCATGGTTGAGCCTAAGAAAAAAAGAGGAAGACTTGTAAGTGAACGTTTTCAAGTCCTTTGTTCTCATTATGCAGGGGAATATGTGCAGCACTTAAGGCATAAAGTTAAAATGCAGTTGAATCTGAACGCTGCATTTTGCATTTTGGAACTCTAGTTCTCTAATTCATGTTTTGCACTTCAGATTGCTAAAGAAGCAGAATATGGTAATAAAATACTCTGGAATGGAATTCTGCCTCATGTCAGTGTGTACTACATATTCTCTTTGTATATATTTAAGGAGGCACAGATCAAATGGTAAGAACATACTTATTTATTTCCCCACAATTCTCTGCTAACAATCATTTAATATCTTAGATTGCAATGCACTATAATTCTAGTATGTACTGATATTAAAAGCTATTTAAATGAGTACTACATTGATTTTATAAAAATCCTTTCACATGCCGAAGACCAAATGTATCTATGTTGACCCTTAATAGTTTTCACAGTTATAAGTATTAAAACATACACAAAGCTGTCCATGAAAAATTTTCCTCAAAGAAAATACTAAAATTTAGTCTTGAAGGTGTTGTTCATAATGAAAACATTAACACAGAGCCCTACAAAAATGCATCAAATATGAGCTGGCTAAAAGCTAAACAGATAATCCAGGAGGCATTAGAGGTGCTTCTTACATACTTTAGTTAAAAATGTTTGGTCAAGAAATGATTAGAATTCAAATAATAAAAATATACATATTTTAAAACATTTAAAAAAATCTAACCAATCATAAATTTAAAGGGAGATGAAAAAATCATGACTTGGACAACCAAAACTGAAATACATATTTGAATTTTCTTCAAATTAAAATAAAACTCAATAGTAAAGAGAAAATTTGCCTTCCTGAAGAAACAAAAGAAATTTCAGTCTGAAAGTCCTCAAAGAAATGGAAAAATGAGTCTTTAAAAATGTGTTGGCATTGGCTCAGATATCCAAAGCTAAATCTCACTTTCTGAAATGATGCTTCATTTGACTGAAGAAGGTTTTTCTCTCTTGCTTTCACCATGGAAACAGACCGCAATGCTAGCCTTACCCTAGGGAAGGCAGAAACTCTGCCAACCATGGACACAATTTTATTAAATGCAGTGAATTAATTCCTTTCTTGAAATTAATGAAACAGTACCATGCAAACTTTTAGTTTCACAAGCAGATAACCAAGCTTTCATTTTAACAAAATATTGGTTAAATCATCAAGTAACATTAGTTTTTAATTCCATTTATAGCTCTTTAACGGTTAAAAAAAATTCTTCATCAGGTTATAGCACAGATGTTTAGAAAAAGCCCCAAATTAACTGTATAATACTACATACTGGACAGAATTCATAAGTCAGAAAAAGCAATTCAGTCCAATAATTTATTTGCAATGAATTTAATTACCTTGCAATTTAAAAAACACAACCCAGAATTACACCATATAACAAACAGGACGGCTACATATCAAAATGCTATTCAAATATGCAAACTATATCTGATTAAAAACTTACACAACTTGCACACTAAAAAACACATATTTCCTTCCTAGTTCATGTCTAAGGGAAGAACACAAAACTGTTCAGAAAACTTAGATACCAATCTAATTTGCTAAAATCATCAGTTATGTAATCAGACTA